GTATCCGAATTGCAGGGGCGGTTTGTTAACTGGGCAAGACCGGCGGTGCCGTCAGATTTTTGTCAGCTGAACTGTTGACTAGAGGTTTATTGCTGATGACGATTTTCAATCAGTTTTAAGTAAATCCAAACAAACATGTATCAACATTCAAAAACACCTTGCCGATTTGAAGGCGCTCAAATAGACAAGTGGGATTCACTGCTGTTTATTTGTCGCGACAGAGCCTCATTCCTTCACGTTTGTTATCGCGCCAGCTCAGAACTTTAAATCGTCTCCCCTCCCATCAAGCCGTCACGTCGCGGAACTTCGTACTACGTACGAGGCCTAACACACGGCGAGCTTAGGCTAACGATGACGTCAGTCCCATGGACAAATCCATCGTCAGCCCTCAGACGAATAGGACATCCCTTAGTTGCCAGATTGGCCTCTTTGTAGCTTAATTAAGAATGAGACTGTCTTGAGCAGCACAGACACATGCATTATTTTATCAGCAAAACGTGTATTTATCATTCAGCCTTTCTCTAACTACTATCAGAACATTTATTGTCAGCATGGCACTAATTCTTTTGTTTATTGACTTTTTAACCACCTATAGTTCCTGTTTGGCATTTACTCATCGTTTTCTCCCCACTAATAACTTACCTGGCCCATAGGAGTCTGGCCGGCGAAAGGAGGAATCGTCTAGTGAAGATATATTAGAAGAATTTTAACGAGGAGCGATAGGCACTCGGTTGTCAGAGTCTAGGCCGAAAACCCCCTCCCTTCCACCCCCTTTTCAACCCTCACCCCAGCTAAACACCAAGCTCTATAATTAGCATTTGACACACTTCCCCACTTCGTTACAACACATTGTTCAGTGTTCAATTCTGAGAACTGAGAAGTGCGATGAAGTACATTTGATGATATAATGATCAGATACATGTGTGCTAACTTTGTCCAGCTTTGTATAGCATCTGATTGCAGACTTGATCTGCTTGGGACAAAGTCACTGGTACAGTAGCAATTGACTTTTTG